CTCGGTGATTGCAGCGATCGTCGAAAGGTTGCTCTTGGTGACCTCCACCTTCTTCCCGATGAAACATTGTGCGACGTATTGACGAAGCTCGCCCCTCAAGATGTAGGCCGCCTATCTTCCGTTAGCAGGTCTAATTCTCACTCCGTCATATAATTTTCTGCTCCTCTTTTCTATACGTCTTAATCCATTTTCGGCTTTCGATTGCCTGAGGGTTAGGGGTTTCTTATGTGTTTATTGTTAGCTCAATCTTGGTGTCTAAATTGTTAATACTGATTGTTATTATCCCTAAGGGCATTGTTGAGAGCCTAACTGTAAAGTTTAGAGTTATGTTTTGCAGAATAAAGTCGGCCTTGTGCTGATGGCTCTGCGCATCATACCTATGAATGTGTTAAGCCGAGACACAAATACTGAAACTTGTTTCATGGAGCAAATTTCTTTAATCAGGAGAAGTTTAGCAGCAGCGTGTTTGTTATTCTAATTCTATTTTGACATTTACTATGTGCCAAGTGTATTGAACTTTCTAAAAAGGAAACCTGAGCATCAATCCCAAGTATGTAAATGATAATAAACTGCTGAACTCAATTGTTTATAGATTACAGTGATGAAATAAGAATGTTAAGAGTGATAAATTTGGGTACCGTCTCTCCATAATTGATGACGTTGTTTCGATCTTATTTGAATGATAAGAAGTATCACTTGGTGTCAGTTAGCATTCTTATGTAGGCTAGCTGCATTCAGCTTGTGAAGTACTGTGTTTATAAATGTTAGTCTTTAGTGGCTGATGGCCTATTAAAGATCTTCTGCTCCATGCATTGTTCACTCTGCCATGTCTACCATTTCTTTTAATTTGTTTTTTATATCTTATAGTGTGATGTATATATTATGCAATGAGGAGCCGCTTTGGATGAGTTTATGTCTCAGCATTGTAAATCGCGAGCTTGAGTACAAAGGCTCGTGGAAGAAGACTGCCTTGCATCAGTATGTTTCTTGATTTCTTCTCCCTAATCGCACATTTTGTAGGTTAATTTAATGTTTGGAGGAGTTTCAACGTTTTCATCTTAGTCCATCTAATACCTTTTTTTTCCTCTCAGACTAGGATTGATCGACAAGTATTATGAAGCTTGCAGTCAAAATTTGGTTTTTGAAGGTATTTAATTATCATGATTTACTACACTATTGAATGGTTGTCCAACTTTATTTAACTTGGATCTTACATCAATTCATGCAGGTTTTAGTTCGTTATTTCTCTATAGGAGGTTGTACAGATGTTATACCTCATTAAACAGTTTCTCATTTGATGATGGAAATGTCGATAGGAGAAATAATATATCTTTAGAAGAATTCCAGGAAGAGTATGATGGTAAAAAACCGGTATGTTAACATTTTGCCTGAGTTAGGAAATCAACTTAGTAATTCTATTTGTTCTCATAACTTTGTTCTTCCTTAGTGTACAGGTTACACATGATCTAGGATAGTTAAATTCAAATTCAAAACTGTTTTCGTCGTTTACTGTTGCTCCATTACTCTCGATACATAGTTATATTTTGTGTTGACAACCCTTAAGATGAGTGTCACGAGGTAGTGAAAACATGGCGTTTCATTCAGTCATTTTTTTCTTTGTATGAAAAAGTACGACTAGTTTTTATAGAAAATAAGATGTAAATGTTGAGAATATGAAGTGTAATGATGGAAGTTGATGGGTTTGTCTATTCCCTCCTTCCCCTGGTATTGGTTGTGAGATTTGTTCGAGTAATCTAGTATTTTCCTGGGATATTTATTTTTGTGTTTGAATGAAAAGCGTGCTTAACATTGTTAATTAAAATGTACGTGTATGCGTTAAGTAGAAAACTAATCTCCTGGTTGGTGCACCTACTATCTACTTGTTTCAGTAGCCTTTATTACCCTTATATAACCACATTGTCTAGTTAAAAGATTAAACCCACGAAATTCTTTCAAGTGCGACGTTATACTGATTTGACAAAAATGAGCATACGCAATTTGGCGATGATTGAGACCCTAGCTGACTTTTTGTCCACCCCTGGGGGACTTATTCAGCGAGGCAAATGCTATATGCAGGCAGGATATGGTTGATAAGGAGCTGTAAAAAAAAGAGAACATGTGAATCAAAGTATTATATAATTTATTGTGAACAATATTAAATTCACTGTTCTTCGGAGGGAAACCAGTAACTTTCTGTTAAAAGATTTTTCTCTTAAGGGATCCTTATCCTAACATATTAAATTTGATGGACATAAGAAAGAACTATTTACTTGAAGTCTTTCTCAGGGAGAAGCTCTTAAGCAAGCATGGTTCTCTTAAGAAGTGATGAGAGGAAATGCTTCCAAAATAATATTTACAAGCTCAAACCCTGAGCATTTAAGTGCTACTGTCAAAGGCTCAAAGCTTTAATTGAGAGTTACTGTTATCACATAGCTTATGATAGTGGAGTTTCACTTTCAGATTGATAAATTGGCTAGGGTAGAAGTAGAACTCATCTCCATAAGCTAGCTCAGAAGGAGAGGGTTCCCAGTCATTTATACACAATTACAGACTGGTAACTACTATACTGATGTAGGACAAATATATCTTCTAATACTAGCCCTCACGTGCAGCGTGATAAACGAAATGGGCCGGGTCCGAACCCAACATCGCTCCAAACAAACAAACCTGGGTGGGTGCTTTGATACTATGATAAATGGGCTTGGGTAGAGCTCATCTCCAAAAGCTAGCACAAAGGAATGGGGTGTCCAACCCACACTTATACAATAACAGCTAAGTAAATAATGGATGTGACAAACATAACTTCTAACACTGATTAATAGTAAAGAAACCAAAACTATACATGCAAGATACGAGGTGTATTGTAATACTACTCCCTGTTGCATAGTTTAGACAAACAAATTTTATAGTTTCCCCCCATGAATTACCAGTACAACCATGCTACAAATAAATTACATTTATGAAAATGATGTCAATTATTTATGATTTGTCTTTTGTAATTTTTATGACAGGTGTTGATTGATGGGCTCTCTGATAATTGGCCAGCAAGGAAATCATGGACAACTGAACAACTTTTAATGAAATATTCAGATACTAAGTTTAGAATATCACAGAGGAGTCCCAAAAAAGTTAATATTAAGTTTAAAGATTATATTTCATACATGCAACTCCAACACGATGAAGATCCTCTCTATATTTTTGATGACAAGGTCTCGTGGTTCACTAATAATTAAATTCAAATTTTGCACTCTATGCTACAGAACACTGAGATTTTATTACTGCAGTTTGGTGAAGTCGCACCAGACTTGTTGAAAGATTACAGTGTCCCACATCTATTCCAAGAAGACTATTTTGATGTTCTGGAGATGGATAAAAAACCACGTTTCAGATGGCTTATAATTGGACCAGAGAGATCAGGAGCCTCATGGCACGTCGATCCAGGTCTTACTAGTGCATGGAATACTCTCCTCTGTGGCCGTAAAAGGTAATGGAGCAAACTTTTTCCTATTTATGTGTATGCCATATAATTTGATCTCATATCATATACATGTAAATATGAAGTATCTTCATATAATATGATAGGGTTGAGGAATGTAGGAATTACTTAACTGGTTTATTGTTCATAGAAATACTCGTGGCTGCGAAAGAATGCATGTTTTGTTCAATGATATCAATAATGTAGTGTAGTTGAACAAGTACGTCATAACATATCTCCAAAAATGTTTTAACTGTAGTTGTATAAGATCAATGAAATGTTTATTATAATATTGATGTTAGAAACTTGTACAGTTGTGTGTGTCTCTACATACATGGGCATGTGTACATAGATATATGTATATTATGCATGAACCAGACATGTTTTACTGACATGAAATTTGTTTATCATAAATGCAAAGTCATATTTCGATATAATTAGATACTATACTCTAAGTAGTAGTTGTCATAAATTATGGATTTTAATATGTATTTTTTGGAGAAGTTAATGAATTGGTCATTAGTTTTTATTATATACAAATTTCTAAGATATGATTGGTAGGTTAAATAAAGGTTTAACACATCGGAATCCTAATTATTTCCATTCGAGCCACAAGTTATTGTACGTATATGCCATAACATAAGCATTAGTAGAGAAAATTACTCTTCATGACTCATGAGAAAACACAAGAATGAAATAACAATTGAAAAGAAAGAGGATATGACTATAATTAGTATATTATAGTAATGAAGTACTAACTATGGCAGTTCTTTGGAACATTCAGATAAATCATATTTATACAAGCAACATTCAGGATGCTACTTTTTGACAGAACAGAGCATCGGTGTAGAAGGGGAAGAACGACAAATCATCCTTTTGTCAAGCATGAATGCATGATCATACCAAACATGAGAGGAATATTCTATGGCTATAAGTAGACAAATGTGAAAAGTAATCTTATTTCGAATTCAATTTAAATGAATGGAAAGTCGTTCCATAGTGCCAAGTAATTCTAGACTAAATAAGTGGCAATGAACAGTATTCATTTAGAACTCAAATCAAAGTTATCTAAAAGAAAATAAATAAAATGCTTTTAATTCTCTTTTTCCATCAGGAGCAACTTGCATACGTTTAGGAGCAACTTGCATACGTTTTTCCTGAACTGATTTGACTCACACTCTAAGAACTGAGGATATGGAGGATATTTTTGTTATTGTTTTAGTGTGGATAGAACTGGGCGGACGAAGAGCCTTTAGAATTGAAGTTGTGGACTTATGGAGAACCAGTGGATTTCTTCTCTAATCTCTGCCAATATTCGTTACACCTTGAAACCTATATAATGGTTGATAAGAACCCGTGTAAAATGTTCTGTGTGCAAGGCTTAATAAAAAATTTCCTGCATCTGAGATAGATGATGTCTTTTCGAGCAATTAAATATTCCAAGCTTTCAAATGAATTGCCAGTTCAACAAGTTCTTCAACAAGTTCTTGATAAACTTAGTATCTTCACAAATTTGTTAGTCCCTGCTCGTTCACAGCTTGGTTGCTCTGTTTGTAGCTGGGCTGCAGTGTTCGGGTAAGCAAAAATGCTCCTGGCACAAATGGACCTAACAACTCAATGTGTTGAGTATTCAGTTTTTCTATAAGTTTTCAAATACAAAACTGCATCCCTATTTATAAGAACTAAAAGCAACTACTCTAGACTTTCCTAGAAATTACTTAAGCTGAAAAATCAGCCCTAATGGCTGCTATGAAAATGCTTTGCAGCTGCAAGGAAGTTGCAAGGAAACAACAGATTATATATTTCTTACAATTTTTCCTCTAATCTTGCTGCTCTTGCTTGTTTCCTACATTCCAATCTTGGTCCTCAGCTCCATGAACCGAAGACGGCCAAGTGGCTTGGTAAAGATGTTTGCGAGCTGCCGTCTGGATTCGACAAACTCCAAAACAATCTGTCCTTCATTGACACAATCACGGATGAAGTGAAAACGGGTATCGATATGTTTGCTCGATCATGGAGGACTGGATTTTTTACAAGGGCAATGGCGGGCTGGTTGTCCACCATCAGAGCTGGTGGACGAGCTTCCTCGCCGGTCAGTTCGCCTAGCAACCGACGCAGCCAGACCGCATGACACGCCGCTGTGGCTGCCGCCACGTATCTGATGAGGATGTGGGTTTTGAGTTTCGACCCTCGATGATGAGAAGGGCCGAGGGCCGAGATGGCCCGAGAAGGCCAAGCAAAGGGCTGAAACAATGCGGGCATGGCCAAGAAGACGCGTACGAGGCCTTATACGAGGGGATTGACGTGCGCAATGGCGTAGGAGAGTACGAAAGTTGACGGTCGGGATACGCGTGCGCAAGAGAAAAAGGTGCGCAATGCGCGCAAGCATGCGAGACGGGTGCGCCGAG